GTACAAACACACATGCAATATGTGAGATTGTACCAACACACATGCAATATGTGAGATTGTACAAACACACATGCAATATGTGAGATTGTACAAACACACATGCAATATGCAAGATAGTACAAACACACGTGCAATATGTGTCGGATTCATGTACTTCCGGTAACATAGTTTCTGGCACGCAGTGTGAGTATTTAATTTCAATTTGCGTTCACCAATCAATTAAAATGGAGATGCGCAAAGTCGTGGTTGCAGCCTATACGGGCATTTATGCACATAAACCACTCCCGCTGAATGGCTATGTTAGCGGTTCTGCTCGCGCTATCAAATCGGATTAAAAAGACCGCAGTTGCGTGGCGATTTTGCCATATTATTCATAAACCCGTAGTATTAAACATCAAAATCAACAATTATATCTCATCATCTGCATCTTTAAACAGTCAATGTGATCTTGACTAATTACGGCAAGGCACTTTCCTCTGAAATGGGCTTATTATCTCCAAGCAATGAGACATTCTCTCAATAATTACTGGAAACCATTTTTTTATATTCTCCCATATTTGTGAATCCAACTAATACTGTATCTTTATCTGTACGAGAAAAGTCATTTTTTTTAATTGGTAAAACTCTCTTCGAAATGAAGGTACAGTTTGCTGTTGGGTTAGTTCTATGTACACATCATTTAATTGTGAAAAAAAATCCGTATCCAGCGATTGTTTCCTAATCAAAACCTCCAATTATCTCCCGATTTGAGAAAAAGTTCCTTGCCGACTAATTGAAACAGAATGACCACTTACTTGACTGTATCTTGTTTGATGATTGCATAGGCGAAAAATAGTGGATTATATGGCGTATCGGCTCCTCTAAGGTTGAACACCCCTGAAACAAAGAAAGAAACACCAAATAGCCGCTCAGTAGTTTTAGAAAAAAATAGAAATAAACTCAGGCTCTTTATGTCATACTGGCTTGGCCTTGCTCTCGCAGCATCAGTTGGCCCGACATGTGTCGTTGTTATAATTTCACCAATTACGAGTAAATTTAATACAAGTGCTCTCTCTTCTTCTGTATAGAGAAGTTTCATATTGCACAGACATGGGAATTCACCACGCACGCGGGCACTTACATGATATATCCACAAGATCTGTGAGAACCATAGCGCCAACGTTCTTCTCCGACATCTTGTCGCGAATTGTGTTCACCTTCGACAACCAACTCGCCCCTGCAAGAAAATTAGAAGGAAATGTAACGCCGACCAAAAATTATAATCGAATAATCTCGATGTCATCGCTTACTGTTTCTATCAATGGCTGCTGGTCACGTGACCTGATTTGGTGAGTAAAAATGTCGCCGTACCGTGACGTAACGTCACGTTTTTCCCTGCTTACTTAGTTCATTTGTATTATTCAGTAACGCCTAGTCACTCATTGAGAGTTTATTTTACTGGATTCCTGCTCAAAATATAATTGTTAAGCCTTTTTGTTTGATTTTGATTCAATAACGACAAAATATACAAACCCGTATATTGCGTAGACACCGACATTAGAGTGCCGGTTGGACGTGGAGGGCGGTTGCCATCAGAGTTCCAAAGATCATCAATAAGCCCAGGTATTTTCGAGATTATCAGCTCTCCTTGAAACGCGTTAACAAATCTTTCATGTTCAGCTGTGAAAATAACAATTACAAAAAGAGTATAACCATGTCGCGGTCTAGACGGAAAGGCTATTTGGCAATTGCATATTGTCATCGGGAATAACACAAACACTACTCTCGCGAGACTTGCGATTTAATCGTGAGCTTACTCACCGAAAGTCAGATAGGTCATATCTGCGCCAATCCGACTAGAAGTCTCCATATTTTCGTATAACCAGTTCTCCGGCTCAATGTAGTTCTCGCTACCTGAAATGAATTGAAGTGTCACTTTCATGAGCGAATCCCTCTTAACCTTTTGCAAGACGCGCTCCTCGCGGCGAAGCGCTTCTTTTAGTTTACCAATTTAGAAGCGGTTTGACGATATAAAGGCGAGACTTATTGGTAAAAGTGGCAAAGTTGGGTGTATCGTGCGTGGCAGTATTGACAAATTTAAGTCTGGCAGGCTAACCTGGTGTGAATATTTCCCAGTTGCAGTCGACTAGTTCTTCGGCGCGTTCCCGGTACTTCTCAAGCGTCCAAAGTAAAGCTTTGTCTGTCGTTACAACACCGAGTCCTGTTGGCGAAACAAATTGAAATGGGATTATTTGCGCCCACGCGCGGTTAAATTGAAACGAAATCACACAAATCGTCACACAAATTAATGTACAGTGTCCATGAATCGCCAAAACGCCCTCAACGACTATTTCGTACTGTTGTCCAATATTTACTTACTCTCCACACAGAGGGCGTGTGCTCTACACCTTTCGTATGAGGATTTATATTTAATGTTCTAGTTTCGTCGTATGTTTACATATACATGTGATAGAACATTCCAAACAAATATAAATTCAATTCGCGTATACTGCATAAAAACGCTCATCAATTCACTATCCCGAGAAATCCACGATCATGTAGTAAAAGTATGATCACCAGAACCAGATTTTTTTTTTAGAAAACGGACATCGAGTCGTTGAAATCCGTTAACATTACCGAGCTTTTTCGTAGATTCGTTTAAGATCGTGATTTCAGCACTTTAGAGCACCATCAATCCACTGTGCTTAGTCGTAAATACCCACCCTAAATAGCGATGTACGACAGGATTGTATGTTTCTAAGGTAGAATATGTCTTCCTTCAGAATCGAGCAAAGCGTAAGCCTACTAATATTTGTAGGTAGTAGAGCATAACTGTTAAATGGTCTATTTATATATCCAATATTGAGTCTATGATATATCCCACAGTAAACGCGAGTACAAGTAAAGCAAAAATAGAAACAACAAGAGGAAAAACCAAAAAACAAATCCGCGCGAATTCAAATTGAACACTCTATATAATAAATATGGGCAAATTAGTCGTACTTATTATATTACAAAGTTATATACCAACTTTCTATAAGCTACTATAATAATGGAGCTATAACTTTCCAATGTGTTTGTCGTTTGATGATGTTGATGCACACATGCCTTCCTGCGGCACTGAATTCGTTAATGAATTCGTTAATGAAAGACGCGAAAACACGAATACGCATGAGCTTTGCTCGTCGCACATGCGCGATAAAAGTTGGCATTAATCCAGCAAACGAATACTGCGCTACAAATACAAACAAAAACAAAAAGAAATTGTAATTTACTGCGTTAACTGACCAGCTTTTAGTGTCAATACACTGTGACAGTAGTAAGCATTCGAAACATTGGACAATAAATTGTGTTGGAGAGTGTTAACTATAATGCATTTACCTTCGTATCCATCAAAACCGCTGATGTATTGTAATCGCATCTCATGGGCAGCTGTGTACTCGCTCTGTATGCACAGTTCAGAACGAATGATGATTAGAAAAAACACTCAACATAATTTCATAACTACAATTGGGACGTTGTGTGAAAAAAATGACAGTAAAATTATGCAATCCAATAAGTAAACATTGTTGAATAAACAATATATACGTAATTACGTATTGAATGGATGAATACTGAAAAATGACTAATTTAACTGATTTACCATTTCAGGCATATTTAGCGGGTTTTATATTCACGGTTTTATCATGTAGATAACGTGTTCTATGCTAAATTTTTACATATTCGCTGGGTTTTAATTTAGCGCATTTTCTAGTCAGCGAAATAAGTAAAATTAAATCCCAGTGAATAACTAATCCTTTTACAGTAATGTAGATATGTAATCGTAATGTAAGCTGAACTACTCCGAGGTACAGGGTAAAAGGCTAAATTCGGAAGTATTCTCAATCAGGCTTGACCTTAAATACCCAGGGAACAACTCACTTATATTCAAATGTCACATTGAAGATGATAGACTGTAAACATTATGCACAAAAAAATATGTTTGAGTCAACATGTGTTGCTGATTCTCAGTAGTTCGTGGGCATATATACTTGTGTTTTTGCATGTTTCTTTCCCTCTCTCTCGTTTGGCTTTGCACGTAACGTTGGTGGGGTTAGATTCAAAGTGTCACGTGATTTGATAATTACCTGATGCGCATCTTTTGGTGTTATTAAATACGCTGCAAGAAGATTAAAATCCGCCATATCCCTGCGAAGTCGGTTTAGTTTGCTGGATGTGTCAATGGCAGTAGGCGCCTTTTGCTGTAAAAGGTAAAGTATCATCAATGCTAGTTGAAATGGACAACTAGTTAGGATGGGGTTCGTTAGGTTCGATTCAGATGAAAAAAAAAAATGGAAAAAGAATGGAGCACTGTTTGCGGGGTGAAACAAGTCTCGTGTGTCTCACGCTCTGAACGAGATCTCGCCGGTCATTTGACTCTAAAGTCTGGTAACAGAAGAATAAACATTACTCGGCCGCAGAACAACTAAACAATGAAATATTGTTGATAACATTTCATTTTTAAGCAGCGTTAAGAAATGTCTGTGTTGAGATATACAAGTGTGAATGCCAAACGTTACCACAAAAATCTAGGGGTTTCACTGCAATTTCCCCGTAAACTAGCGCGTAAACCCCCTCTATGTCATTCTGCAGTCAATACGCACGAAGAAGAAATAGATGAACTTCTCTGAAAAAATAGCACTTACTCATTGAATAAAAAAAATAATAACATTTTAATAAACCATGTTAGGGGTTGTATCCAAATTAAGGGGTTTCCCTCTTTTGAGAGAATCGTTGGGGAATCAAACATAATCACCGCGAAAACAAACATAAAATCATGAATATTATAGTAACTATTCTCAGCATAGCACATGAAAAAAGTTCGATACCCTGTTTCTATCAGACGCGCCTCTAGCGCCAGTGCATTTCTGTGACGTCAGTGGTGTCATTGATGGTATCGTACGAGTTTCTAGGGGGCTACTTTTAGTATTGCGTATCGACCTGTCTAATAAAGTAACCTTCAATTAGACGTCAGTGCTAGATTGATGTGATACTTACAGGTGGGGACTTTGCACAGTTCCGTGTTTGTTGTGACGTCACAAGTGTGAAGAAGCATGCTGTAGGAAATAAAAATGAAAACAGTTATTTCGAATGGTATTTGCAAGGTGTAGCAAAGGCGTCATCAACGACAGGTCGTTCTTTATAGACAACTTTCCCATTAGCGAGACTGGGGTGCAGAAATACTTTTTCTTTGTCATGGCGGGAAATACAAACATGTCAGTTTGCAGATGGTCGATAGAAGGAAATTATATTTTTGTGACGACGATTGGCACACCCGCAAGCACAATATCACGCGGATGTTTCCGTTACAACCCAAACCGCCGTATCTACGACTTCCGGTAAAGTGGTCTATCGCTGGGATGTCAACGCCATCGTATACTGATTGTACGTCCAGTGTAAAATGTTTGATAGTCAGCGAAGTCTGTCACAGAAATTTGTGTTGATAAACATTGATTTTCCCACAATCCAATGCGCTCTTAATGAAAACCACGAGTGCGAGTTTTGATCTCGGTGCAACGTGCACTAATTACCGTCACTCTATCGATACCTTCCTATCACCATGCGATTTGAACCTAATTAAAACCTGGTAACGTCCCAGTTCGTACTCGTTGGTCTGTGCATTTGCCAGAGTCGCCATGTTTGTTTTTATGGAACTCTTCTCGAATGCAATACATTGTGGGTATCAAAGTTAACTGTTAATTCAAGTTCGAGTTACTAAATGTGGACGTTCAACAAAAACAAAAATATAGGTTGCCCGTAACTCGAAGTTCTGTCAACAGTTAATTAAACACCGAGTTACAATTTGGGCGCGGTTTTGCACAAGTGGGCGTGGTTTCTGAAATGTGGGCGTGGTCATTTTTGTAACTCGATGTTTCGTAACTCGATGTCCGTAACTCGAACAGCTCAGCATCTCTTTTTTTTTCATTAACGTCTTGACACAAATCATTATAACTGTGGCGTGAACGCCAATACACCGATAAACTAAGCGATAAGCGACGTGACATTTTTACTGTTCACTCAAGAATGACGTCACTTAGAAAATTGATCAGTCTTCGGCTTAATTGTCAAGTCGTAAACTGATGTGGTGCTCGTTAAACTTTATGAGGGTGTTGGCAATCGACAAAGTCGTGGGTTAACAATGTTTTTGTTTTTTTAATTCTACATAGACAGTAATGTATTCCTATATATGTAAAAAAGGGAGAGATCAGTATATAAAATGTAAGTCGTCCCCGCCAACCCCAAGAAATTAACATGTACCTCATGATAAAATAATATATCATTACTGGTTGTAACGGGCCAGAAACCGATGTATTATGTTGTTTGGCGTTGGTGTTTGGGGTAATTCGTGAATATGTGTACTGACTTTGTACATTCACGCATGAAAAACGTACCACGGCAGTAAAAATCCTCAAACCGAAATAACGTTCTTCTAGTGACCACTGACCCACAACAGTAACGTTGTCCGATTAGAACGCGAACGACTTCATAATTCAATAAATGTATTACGTAACGCTAAGTGATGTCATATGTAAACTTTTTATTACTTTCCTTACGTAATGGTGTGAACAATTGTACTCAACATTTATTCATTCATGTGTCACTGGGGTAATATGGCTGAATTCGAGGTGCACAACATGCATTTTTCAAGAAATATGCCTGCCATAAAATACTCGCGCATAAAACATATGTGTTGCTTATTTCTCGTGATCATGCCTTTATTTCGCGATCAATACACTATTCAGTCGCTTGTTTTTACTCTTTTTTTGAAATGATGAATAAGTCTTAACTGGGATCCAGATGTGGAGGAGTTTGAAGACTTAAAACAGCTGGTAAAACACGACGTATTTTGCATACGTGCATGTTTCATTTTCAGTAATTGTCGATAGCAATTCATAACATACGGTCTCTAAATAACAACTTGTCATGTGTTCATGCATGTTGCTAACTAACTTGCACTGTAATAGCAAGCTACTCTTGAAATCGAGGTCGAAAAAGTTTGAGAAAGGACGTTGGTTGGATTTTTTAGCAAAAATTAATAAATAAAACGTAAAGATAAAATAGTCCTGTACAAAATATACATATGTGTTTGAAGAAATAACGTTGTTCTTATTGCGCATGTGCGTGTTCGTCTATTATTGTTGACGGGTTAGTTCTTACCTACATCACGCGCACTACGCGATTCATTCACACGCAATATGGCAGTCAGTTACCATGGGTTACGGCTGTGACTAGAAAGTAAGCGTTCTACTCTGATCGTACTCAATACATACGTTAGTTTTGTAACGTTCGCTTGCCTCTAAATACGCACCTGGTAGTATATATCGTCTGGTTTTGGTGCTGTAAAATTCACGTGACTCAAGCGCAGTTCTGACTACAGCGTTTCGTGGAAAAACAAGTTTTTGCTTGAGCTTGTAAAAAAGATACGACGTTGTAGACGACAATCTGATTTCGTCCCCAGCGTACACGCTGTTGTAACAGGCAATTGAATTAACGCAATATTACAATCACACATGCAACTGCTTCATGGTAATTCTTCTGTCTTTAAAGAAAATGGAAAATCTCCTTTAATCTCTAATGTAAATTGGCACTGTTTTCTGGCATGTGGTATCCGTCATTGTATATTATACCACATCGTACCCAGGATAACTGCTTGTTCTATGGGGGGCGTCTGTCGTCGACAATACGAGTATATAACACCATGGAGGTATAAACTAATAGTATGTTTTAAATCATACAAATTAATTTTTGAAAAAAATTTGAACCGCGTTCAGAGGTTATTTGAATTATTCAAGTCCATTCTGGAGGTAGCTACAGAGCGTATTTTAACACTACAAGTCGTCGGTGGCTTATTAGTGAACTATGGGAGTGACATAGCACGCATCTACTAGTGAGATATTATTTCATTCAACGTCGTTGTGTTCGTTATTTTCACGTGTACAACTTCACGTAGTGAACTATCGCTTTTTCTCCTATTTATAATATAACAAACACGGCTTAATTTCAAGCGTCCTAAATGTACAATTTAACTCCATGTACGTTATACGGCTAAGAATTGCCAGTTTGAAATGAAAATAAAATATATAAACAGCAAGTTAAGTGATGTTGGATTTTACCTCATTAATCTAATAATTAATTTAATTAACTGACAAAAAACATGATCGCTATAAGAATTTTTAAATTAATGCATTGCATTTGAGACATGCTCAAATTGTTAGTATGCAAATGAGGCAAATAATTCATCATGCGTATCGATTAAATAATAACGGAAAAATGAACATCCTCGTAATTCAGTCGTTGGTATCTGCGTTGAAATGTTTGTGTTCCGATAGACAATCGGAGAATGGTGCGACATATTGTCCTATTCGTGACCTACCGGCACATATAAAGTTGCAATTGAAACTTTGACTCCACCGCCACGTATCGAACACAGCCCACGTCCGTAACGACGGAAGAGAAGCCGGGCATGGCGCCTAGTACATTATACTATCTTTTTAACTCGGTGAATACACACTAAGTAAACAAGAAAAGTTGATTAGATCGGCGAAGTTAGAATACTCGGCGATAACAATTGCGTCCATTACCGGTGAATGCGAAGGTGACACGGCAGGTCAACCGTGGATGATTGAGGATGGGATACACACAAAGCTTTCGCCCATACCCCCTGAGGGGGCTGAATACAGTGATGCTACTAGTTACTGACACTGAAGTGACAGATGTGTTATCTATATCACAGATACGGAGACGCATTTAACAATGTCACGATGTAGTCAAGGCGTTTACAGATTTTAAGCATATAGTCGGTTGAAATACTTCATTGTAAGTTGTTTTACGGGTCAATATATAATCCTAAAGTTTTAAATCCGTTTCAAGAAAATTATGAGAAGAACCGGTGGGATCGATGTATAGCAGGATATCCATTTTCTTGTTTGCTCGCATACTGCGTCGACATTTTAGTCTTTAATTTTAGTCACGATCTTTAATCAACTCAGAAAATACGAGCGCCCTCATACTTCCATTACATATTTTCTTTCGAGTGCCTCGATTTAACAAATTCAGACCATGTACAGGAGAAAGACAATGAGAAATAACAGATTACAGCGACATACAATCATTGAACATGATGTTAGTGTATGGGCTGAATTTGGGAGTTGACGCAGCGCCATCATTTCAGAAGAACGTAGCTAGGTTAGCTGTACAGCAGTTGAATAATACATTTATTATGAGTCGTTCTTAAACAATGAGGGGTTAATACGCGAGTTCAGGCCAACGAGGCATTCGACAACGACAAAAACGTGACGAGAATGACTTAGATTGAATGTCTCTTTCGTATACACCGATTCGAAATAGAGTCGCATTAGTATATACCGATTCGAAATAGTGTCGCTTTCGTGTGCACCGGTTCGAAATAGCACCACTTTCGCATACACCGATTCAAATTAGCGTTGCTTTTGTGTACACCTATTCTAAATAGCATCGCTTTCGTATACACATATTCGAAATAGCGTCGCTTTCGTATACACCGGTTCGAAATAGCGTCACAGTGTGAATGGCGTTATTTATAGCGTGGATTATTAATAAGTGAATTTGAATGCCGGGCACGTGATATGAAAATGTGTTGAAAGAATTGGCCACAAACAGAACATGACACATTCCAGAGATGTATATTTAACTAGCTAGCTAACGGTGTTATAAGATGAAATAAGCACTCTCCGAATCTCACAATACTTAAATGATCAGGTTTAAAATTAAGTACGGAAAATGTTGATTTAATTACGGGATTGCAGATGGGTATACAGGTTTTTTTTCTCAATTTGGAAATATTGGATCTACTTATTTTAGTTTACGCTATAGACTTCAAGTTGAAATGATGCTATTTTTTTTAAAAGCATTTCCTGTAATATAAGGTGCAGTCCAATTTAGTATTATGAGTAATTTGATTCTCGACGAAACCATAACATATAATGCTACATCAATATAATGTGTGACATGATGGTCTGCGTCTTCGCTCCACATCAGGGTATTGGGGGTTCGACACAAATGGGCGTCCAAACACTCCCTGCTCGCCGCGCTTTCAGAGGGAACCATCGGCCCCGTGTACTATTCATATCCTCCATTAAGGAACAGTACTACACTGTACTGAGATGGAGTTCTCGTTATTAAGGACCAGTACTACACTGGACTGACATGAAGTGTCTCCATTATGGACAAGTGCTACACTGGACTGACATGGAGTGTCTCCATTAAGCACCACTACTGCGCTGGAATGGCATGGAGTGTTTCCATTATAGACCAGTAGTACATTAGACTGACATGGAGAGACTCCAATATGGTCCAGTATTACACCAGACTGATATGGAGTGCCTCCATTATAGAACCGTACTACACTGGACAGACAAGGAATGTCTCCATTATGGACCAGTACTACACTGGACTGATATTGAGTTCCTCCATTATAGACCAGTACTACACTGGACTGACATGAAGTGTCTCCATTATGGACCAGTACTACACTAGACTATCATGGAGTGTCTCCATTATGAACCAGTACTACTCTGGACTGACACGGAGTGTCTCCATTATGGACCAGTACTACACTGGACTGACACGGAGTGTCTCCATTATGGACCAGTACTACTCTGGACTGACATGGAGTGTCTCCATTATGGACCAGTACTACTCTGGACTGATGACACGGAGTGTCTCCATTATGGACCAGTACTACTCTGGACTGACATGGAGTGTTTCTATTATGGAACAGTACTACACTGGACTGACATAGAGTGTTACCATTATGTACGAGTACTACTCTGGACTGACACGGAGTGTTTCCATTATAGACCAGTACTACTCTGGACTGACATGGAGTGTCTCCATTATGGTCTAGTACTACACTGGACTGACAAGGAGTGTTTCCATTATGGACCAGTACTACTCTGGACAGACAAGGAATGTCTCCATTATGGACCAGTACTACACTGGACTGATATTGAGTTCCTCCATTATAGACCTGTACTACACTGAACTGACATGAAGTGTCTCCATTATGGACCAGTACTACACTAGACTATCATGGAGTGTCTCCATTATGAACCAGTACTACTCTGGACTGACACGGAGTGTCTCCATTATGGACCAGTACTAGTATATTTATAGAGAAGATTTTTAACTGTCAAAGCCCAGCAAATAGCACCTGCTCCTGCCATATTAAGTTGAAATTTATACGATTCTTTTAAAATATGTGGAGAAACATCACGTATTAGTTTTAACCAAAAACGAATAATTTCAACATTTACATACACTCTAAGATAATGCCGACCCAACTCTCCCCTAACAGCGGAATTAGTGGCAACCAAACTAACACTTAGTAAAAATTTGCAAAATTTATTGTGTACTCTCTCCACATCATTAATATCAGAATGTGTGCCCCAAATAGCACTACCGTAGAGGAGAATTGGGAGGATTTTACAATCAAATATACGAAAAGCAACATCAGGCGGCACACCTCCCAGATTCTGTATCTTTTTTTCCAAACAAAAAAGTGCTTTACTGGCCTGTTGAGAAACATATTTTTGTGCCTGGTACCACTTTCCAGAACTGGAAAGTATAACCCCCAAATAATTATATTTTGAAACAGTTTCAATGCTTTTACCCTTCCAAAACCATTTTTCACTGTTTTTTCTTTTGTATTCATATTGGCAATTCAAAAATAATTATATTTTCTTATAATTTATTTAAAATCCAGTAGACAGTCAATTTGCAGAAGTGATCAAAAAATTAACCAGATCTTAAATTACAAATAAAAGTTACAAGCGATCCTGACCTCGTTTATAAAGGACATTATGGTCAAAAATTAAATGCTGCAGCAACATTTTGACCGGGGAAAATATGGATGTTAATATGGCACGAAGTGAAAGATAACTTGTGATGTTACGTTCAACATCACATGAGTCATTTGCTTTTGTTTTCCACTTTTAATATATTTTGCATATATTTCCACTTGACATACATACGGGCTTTTCATCAGATGACGAAACCTTGCCATGTACTTACCAAGCCTGTAGTTCACAAACACAACAATAGTATCGGTATGATTGGCAATATATCGACCATCTTGGAGAAGACTGTATCCACTTCCCTGACGGAAACTACCGCCATGAAAGAATACCATAACTGGAGCTTTCGACGCTGGTGTTGATGTGAGAGGTGTAAACACGGTCAGGGTCAGACAATCTTCACTCGTCTACAGAAAAATGAAGTAGGCCAATTTTAAAGGGTGGTAGTCGTCGCGCCACGCATGCGCGAGATATGATAGTCTCATATAAGCAAAGATGGCGACTTTGACTGTTGCGCAGATAAACGAGTACAAACTGAGACGTTACCAAGCTTTAATTAGATATTTTTTAGGTGATTGAAAGGTATCGAAGGAGTAACCGGCGGTAATTAGTGCAAGTCGCGCCCAGATCAAACCTCATACTTGTGATTTCCATTAGAAGAAAATCAATGTTTATCAACACAAATGTCGCACATGCGCAGCGCGACGACCACCGCCCTTTAACACCATGCATGCATCTGTCACAACCCCTGACATTTCTCAACATCGTCAAGCCCCTAAACTAACTCGAGGTGAATCAGTTATCATTTTCTATTATTCAATGGATTTTTAGTTTGTTTTTTCTTTTTTTTTATTTTTTTATTTTGGCATCCGTTTGATAACCGTTATTACCTGTTGAATAAACATTATTATTACAACGATGGATTACGGGTTTGTTTATACGGGACACATTGCAGCATGCACGCCTTCGTGTAATCGTAAAGTTGCATTCCCACTATGTATGATATGTAGAAATCCTCTCACCTACCCCTGTATTCATGAGAACATGAGAAATCATGTCCAACAGAATCCTGAAAAAAAATTTAGTAGAACTTTACAGCAGCAATAGCTGTAACTATCGAACTTTTTCTCCGATTTTTATATTTAATAACAATTTCCTGTGTCATTATTATTAATTTTTAACGGACATCCCTGAAATGTGGACACTGGAATTCTAGCAAACACGCAATTAAATCACTTGCAAGGGGAAAAGATGGCCGCTAGGTTGCGGCCAGGTCTCCAGGGGCGCCATCTGTTGAAATCCAGTTTTGTTAATCGGGAAGCGGGCGAAATCATGTCAAATACGTACAATCTCATTGATGGTTTTATGTGTGTTACTTCCCATAATGATGTTCATCGCGATCGTGCGTCATAAGTTTCTACTGTACATCAGCACGTGACCAATTTTAACCATGCGACCACTCGACGGCTAGTATTCACATTGCCATTGCTTTAAATTCTTTTACATTAGCATTTCTCTCGAAATGTAAATACTTCATTAGGATTGGGACATGTGTGATGTGGTAAATGACACATCTACAAGCTGACTAATGGGTCCATCGTTGAATTGGGCAACTGGGCGACGGTTTTTCCTGCGGACGAGAGGGTTTTCAACGATATTCCACACGAGTGTTTTCCACATACATCAATATGTACTACATGAAAGACAGGGAGCAGTCACCACTTTGCAGATATATATAGGCAGTTTTTGTCCGATTTAAGTTGAAAATTTAGGGACTATCTCTCAAGAAGGGGCAGGCTGTGACTAAAATGTCATATTTGAAGAAAAAACGAAAAAATATTCAAAAATGTGTGAATTAAATAAAATCCTCTAAGTCCTTCTCGATTTCACATGGATGACGCCTGAACAATATACGACTTTATACGGCTTACCCCAGCGAACAATCTCACCTTTTTCCCGGCTCATTCTCTTAAATGTGGCTAATTATTGTGGAGTCAATTTATGTATTATTCGCACACATGAGAGATGCTGCACTTTTCATTTTTCTACAAAGAGTAATTATATTTCTCAGAACAAATGTGCGCGTGAAACCTCTTTCACATATGTTTTGTCCCATCATCATTGAAATACTGTATTAACATTAAAAGTGAAATCAATTGTAATTAGCATATCTAACAACAGAGTTTCTTGGCCGTTCTTCGACTTCATGTTGGCTAAATGTCCTGAAAATCTGACGCTGTGTTTCCGGGCCATGTTCGTCGATGCAAAAGTTGTAGATTTTCACGGACTCGCGAAAATGTTTCTTCTCTGAGAAAAAAGCGAAAGATTATTAACAGAACTTATAAATATGTATCTTCGAGATCATACGTACCTTATTTGGGCAAGTGTGTGGAGGTAAATGACACTTTTGTGGGCAGGCAAATGGGTCTCTCGTTGCGTTAAACACACTGGGCGACCATTTTGCCGGCGGACGAGGTGGTTTCCAGCGATGTTCACCCACTGGCGGTGCCGAATAAGGCACTCCAAAAAATATACGAGCGTTATCAACATACAATCCCATCACCTTTCCATACTCTGTGTACACAGTGGGGTTAGCTTCCACGTTGATATCCACGGCCAAATATGCTATAATAATAATTACACTACGCATTTCGAATTTTCGATTTGCCAATTACTGTCTTTTCAATGTGTGAATTCGATCCAATGGCCTTTCCACCACTGTTGCATGCATGTGACTACTTATTAAAGTAATCACTCTCACTGCACATGTTGTAAAAAGTGTTATTTTGTTACTGACTTCCCAGTTCAAAGTACAAGTAATGTTGACCTCGAGCTCATTGTTGAGAACCCCGCAAAAATATCTGCTCTTAGAAAAATATGAATATTACACAATTGCACGATTTTATTCGAAACAACAATATTATATAATTCGCATATTATACAAAACCTAAATTATTAAAATATCCTCAAATTTTGCAATTCCATAGATTATTTATATTATGCTGTATGACATGGTTCATGTGACATGTTTCTCTTCCTCTTTTTACACTAGTCTAGGACACGTGCACCAACCTTAGTTTGTGTCTTCAATACGAGAAGACTTGAATACATTTGATAATAATCATTTAGCGTTTGCCATTTACAAATCTTTGTTATTTTATAACTATATGCACTATATAATTGTAGGGTATGTTTGATTTGGTATTACTTGATTGTAAGTTTTCTAGAATGGAATATAGTGTACACACATAACGTGATTTTTAAACAAATGTTTATCGTGTAGTTTCCAGAAATACCAATTCAGATGCTCCACCTGAATTTCAACCATGCGTACACAATTATGTACTGGGAGTACTATCACAATGACAATGGTAAGAACCGGGCGAACTTGAAGAGAAAGATGAGATTACGTTGAATGTGTTCCTTGTGTCGCATGCTAACTAATCACTTTGTCCGGCAGTATTTTCTTGTAAATCATTTTGTCACGTCCTCCTCTCTATTCCACACTTTAGTTCCCTATAACTACACAAACTATTCAAATCAACTATTGTGAAAGGAACGGAACCGAAACCACTTATTAGATTGAACAACAATTTTTAGAACTTTAGTTTACACTCCCCCAATGGTTCTTTGAGTTGGTCTAATTATTGAGATGCAAATTATTTCTCAGTCAGTACACATCATTGTTTATGATGATTATTTTTATTTTTTATTAAACTTCACTTGAGACCAATAGTTATCAATGGGAGTATGAGTTTACGTACTCATCATACTCTCACAGAATGTCAAAATAGAACATTTCGGTTCTGCGTGACGTCACATGAAGATGCTCAATTAGTTCAGTCAATCCTGGCCACAACGATTACAGCGTTTATAGCATGTATAATTTAAAGCAGGAGGGTCGACACCTGCGCACGCGCGGGAATTAAGTCCCAAGCGATGATAGCAACACACGCTAACTTGAAGAACGCAAAGGCTCATTGGTAGACGCTTGTTTGTAAAAAGTGAGACGCTATGGCCACCTGGCGCATGCGTAGGTGGCGACTTCATCGCTTTAATTCATAATTCGACATACGTATTCGGTTAACCAGTATTTAGACTGAGCACGAAGTGCAACTGTGTGGCAATTGTTCGGACTTCCCCCTAAAAGCTTGAAAAAGTTTGAAGACTTTGAGTTTGTTTTCAACCACATTATTTTGACTGGTTTTACAATAATGGATCCATACACTCAGCTTTTATTGCGCTGTATCTGCTTCATAGATGCCATATTATTTAATAATTTGAACACCCAAATGTACAATCGAAAATGAATGAATAAACTGTATCGTATCCTTAATGTAAGTACAACAAAGTACAAGTATGTTAATTAGAGGTCAATCACTTGAAATCCTGGGGGTTAGCTGGATGACATTATGCATTGTTTCTCGACAAATCCGTCCGTCACTGCTATGATTTCGTTTGTTTGACTCCTTAAAAAGTAAAAAACAAACGAATCGAAATTGTTTTCAATTAATCGTTGAGGGCGTAATACAAACATGGCTGCCTTCTTATCAAGAGCAGTAAGAGAACTCACCAAGAACCAGAACCGAATAGTTTCGACACAAGCTAGACTTTCTGCTATCAGGCATAGCAGTTCAACTAGGTCCTTACTCGAAATAGAAAGGCGTAGCGGAGATGACTCGGGTATTGCAATAGTTCGAATGAATCGACCACCAGTGAACAGTTTATCTTTGGAATTTTTGACCGAGTTTAACATCAGTTTGGAAAAACTGGAGAACGACAGCAGTTGCCGAGGACTTATACTCACATCGGTAAGGGTGATTCCAGGGGGTACTCCAAGTCTATATTTATAAATGTGTATGTATGTACCAACTAAAATACAGCTTTCTGTCTAATTCTACTGTATAGTATATAATACTGATTGATGTGATTTTGAGAAAATAAATGTTTACTTTTGACCTTTGACCTCCTGGTGGTGTAAAGATATTGTAAGTACCAGGGTGCATGTAGGGACGAACTTGGAAGCCTGACATGTGTAACAGAATAATGAAATTTCTATTTTGTGATTTGAGTCACACATCAAAAATGTCCTATTTGAGAACCTGCCAAGTTTTATGCAGGTGTCATTCAGACTAATATTGGAATAACCGGTTTGCATTACTGTTTCAAATTTTCAAGCTGTTGCAAGCGTCAGATAAAAACAACTGACCTAAGAAGTATAATGTTTGCATGGACACAGTGATTACATGATTAAAATAGTTACCCTTGGCTATAAAGGGAACAACTTGACTAGTCAGACAAGTCCTAATTGGCAAGTGCTGCTCATCCAATATTGATTTTGCAATATGTTTACTGTAGAATACTTTATTTTCACTTGGAATTCGTTTTCGCTATTTCGCTGAAGGAATGATTCAGTGAAAATAAAATCTAGTGAATATACCTTTTTTCCTATATTTTACATTCAACTTGTCAAAAATCAGTGGAAATAAATTTCATACAAAACACCCAAAAAGTGTTTTCAGCGAAAATTAATTCCAGCTAAAATAAAGTACATGTATTTTCATTCGTCAATCGAAAATTCTGTGTGTGATTCATTGATTTGATAAAACCCTAAGATGGTAAAAGCTAGCAATGTTTGTTTGTTTGTTTTTTGGTGGCTTCTTTCACTTGGCACATTGGAACACAGATTTTTGCTTAAATTTTGTTTTTGTTTTTTCGACTTTGCCAAGTGGAGTTTATCATATGAGTGATTGTCCATCGTCGTCAGGATCAACTTTTTACTTTTTCAACGACTTCTTGAAAACTACAATTCTTATTGCTTTGATACTTGGTGTAAATGTACCTTGGGCAGACCTCTCTTAGATTTGTTCATTTCGTGATGATATCTCTAATTTTGATGAATATTTTTGTCATTTTTGGTAAAAAGTGATAATTTTTAACTTCTTGTTAAAAACCGCAAGTCTGATTGCTCTGATACTATAAGGTTTCTCACAGGGATTTTTTTAAGCAAGGGAACAGGGGTGCAGCGCCCTCATGCCATGGCCATGTGCCCCCTTATCCTGGGGAGCAGATCCTCTGGCAACCATACAATTCTGATTGACCAGGGATCACATGTGGCCACAGTCTTCAACTGTGACTTGTCTGATAGTAATTTTGGCCCCAAGGAAGCCATAGAATGCTCCATTTTAACTTAGAATTATCAAAAACTCCACACCCTAGTAGGGAGAACCCTATCTCTCCCACTACGCTGAATTTCAGTGCTCCCTCTTGCAACCCCTGCTTCAGACCACTCGCAGATTTGTTCATTTCGTGATGATATTTTTAATTGTCTAATTTGAGGAATACTTTTGTCTTTTTTGGTAAAAAGTGATATTTTCGACTTCTTGTTGAAAACCGCAATTCGATTGCTTTGATATTATACATGTAGGTACCTCAGGTAGACCTCTCTCAGATTTGTTAATTTTCTTATGATACATTGTATCTTCAGTTCTTTAATAGAAATGTGCATTGCTAACAGTGGAGCTATCTCAGTCGAGAGGCTGCTTGTAATTCATATATCCTTGCTAAAAAGGACTTGAAAATCTATGACCAAGCTTTGATTGAGTGTTTTCCGATACACAGCAGCAGATTTCCGATAGTGAATGAGTGTGTTCCCATACACAGAAGCAGATTTCAGATAATGAATGAGTGTGTTCCCATACACAGAAGCAGATTTCCGGTAGTGAATGAGTGTGTTCCCATACACAGAAGCAGATTTCAGATAATGAATGTGTTCCCATACACAGAAGCAGATTTCAGATAATGAATGAGTGTGTTCCCATACACAGAAGCAGATTTCAGATAATGAATGAGTGTGTTCCCATACACAGAAGCAGATTTCAGATAATGAATGAGTGTGTTCCCATACACAGAAGCAGATTTCAGATAATGAATGAGTGTGTTTCCATACACAGAAGCAGATTTCAGATAATGAATGGGTGTGTTCTCATACACAGAAGCAGATTTCAAATGAATGAGTGTGTTCCCATACACAGGAGCAGATTTCCGATAGTGAATGAGTGTGTTCCCATACACAGAAGCAGATTTCAAATAATGAATGAGTGTGTTCCCATACACAGAAGCAGATTTCAGATAATGAATGAGTGTGTTCCCATACACAGAAGCAGATTTCAGATAATGAATGAGTGTGTTCCCATACACAGAAGCAGATTTCAGATAATGAATGAGTGTGTTCCCATACACAGAAGCAGATTTCAGATAATGAATGGGTGTGTTCTCATACACAGAAGCAGATTTCAGATAATGAATGAGTGTGTTCCCATACACAGAAGCAGATTTCAGATAATGAATGAGTGTGTTCCCATACACAGAAGCAGATTTCCGATAGTGAATGAGTGTGTTCCCATACACAGAAACAGATTTCAGATAATGAATGGCAAGCTTTAAGCATGATCAATTATTCGGCATTTCTATATTATATTTGAAAGTTGGTAATAAATGGGTTATTACCTCTTATTCAAAGTTTCATTACAATCAGACATTCCATTTTTTAATGAAGCTTTCTGAAAATCAGTGATCGCTGACAGTACATGTACCTAAAAGAATTGTTTTAAAAAAGCAAATACAGGAATTTATATAATAAGTTCTGGTATTTTTGTTTTTATTTGTTTTTTATCCAGACTCTTCCAGTAGTCTTCTCAAGTGGTGTTGATATTAATGAGATGTATCCAGCCAAGAAGGATAGATTATGCGAATTTTGGAAATTGTTTTTTGACTTGTGTCATCGACTTTATGGCAGTCGTTTAGTGACCATTGCAGCCATTAATGGGCATGCCATTGCTGGAGGATGCGCTCTTACACAGTTATGTGATTACAGAATAATGACTTCATCACAAGAGACTAAACTTAAACTGAACGCAACAGAACTAGGGTTACCCCCTCCAGCTCCTATTGTCCAGATCATAATGAATAACGTCGGTCAACGAAAGTGTGAAAAAATCTGGCAGACTGCTCAGCTGTTCAATCCTCAGAGTGCACTGAAAGTCGGTTTGGTAGACGAACTGCGTAAGGACAATGTCATGCTTGGTGCATTGCAAGAAATTAAAACGTGGTTGAAAATTCCTGATGCCGCCAGAATCTTAACGAAACAAGCAATAAGGCAGGCAACCCAAAACCTTATGAATCCTGCAGTTATAGAGGATGAAATTAACAGAACTGTTGCGTTTATCTTGGAAGAAAACACACAGGATAAAATGAAAAGTTATTTTGAGAGTATGAAAAGAAAACAAACTGACGTATAAATTCAACATGTTATTGTGGTGCAGTAAATTTCTTCTAGTAACTGATAAGTTAGCAGCTTGTCTGAAAATCTTTTTATTTTTCCAATCATGAAATGTAATATGAGTGATCTGATTAAAACTACCAGCCAATAGTGTTAGACATAACTAAATCTGAAAGTCAATCTGTCAACAAAGTGTTTCTATCATGTAAAAATGACATGGAAAGGTGACATAAATGTATTTTGAAGTGATGACTGTGTCTGATTTTGCAGAAAATCTGACTGATGACTTCAGATTAAAAAATGTCAAAGCTGATTGGCTTTCTATTCATATATCTACATTTGTGAAGCAATTTTGATATTCTGATTGGTGAGAGCTCTGATCGGTCAAAAGTCTCGCGTCTAAAGCAACACTATCCTGATATAAGTATATTAAATTTCACTTTGTGCAAATAAAAAATTTATTAAAAGAAAAAATTAAGAAACATTTAAGCAACTATTTATCATTAGAATATTGAATCGAAATGATTCACAAAAAGATGAAAGCACAAAACGAATTTATAATTTTATTTGCTTGTATGTATTGAGGCATATTTTCAGTTTGAGTCAAAACAATCATGTAACTCTTTGTAGTAAAAAGGCGAAATAAATAATAAAGATGATAATTTAATAACTTTTTTCACTAAAGTAGAGCAGTACATGTATTTCTTTCTTCAAAAAATAGCGGCCAAACTATTCAAAACTTTTGATCAACTTTCAAAAATGTATTTTTTTTATTGGACAGATCATATCTTCATCAAATAATTACAGCAAGTCTCAGAATTTGCAAACTTGCTAGCGAATTGGCTAACTGCTTGGGTTTTGACTAAACAGTTGGCTTTCGAATCTCGCTGGCGCCGACTCGTGGTTGCGTCCACTCTGGGTGAGTCTATATCGCATTAGGGAACATAGTATGCTTTTACGTAGCCTGGAACATGTCTGGATTCCCTTGAATGGTTTGCTTTGCGAGGCCTGGGAATGGCCACAGTCAGCTGGCGTACAAGTGATAATATGATAAATGTGATTACTCCACCGATATTTACTATATGGGGGTAGCTATCTTGACCACTGATTGAAACTAAATAAAGAG